AGCTACTGTATATCTGTGTTTTATTTATTCCTCTCTGTTTCATTCGTTCCTGTTCTGTGAGTGCTGGATCGCCACAACAGGATGTTTCACTTCTATTGAGTCAATGTTCACTCTTTTCACCAGGCGCAGTTCTTCACATGCCTCGTTTCCTAATATGGGAATGGATGAGTGCCTGGAAACATAAAATGTCAGACTTGCCTGTGTTTTGGGAGTGGAGCATTTGAGTGTTACAACCCCTTCTGGCTTCAATCTCATCCCTCCATATGCCACCAGCACTGTCTTTATAGGCTGCAGTTTGAGGTGAGTTCTTCTTTCACATCTGGCTTTTCGGGTCATCGATGTGAATACTTTCAGTGGCAGGACGTTGTCCTCTGCTCCTGTGTCCAACTTAAACTTCACACACATGCAGTCAACATTTACATTAGAATGCCACGACTTGTCAATTTTAGACTTTAGCTGATCAATGTTCACTGTCCCAATCAGTGGTTGCGTTAGACTTTTTCGTTGTCCGTCATTTTGACGGACAGAATCGTAAAATTTCCGTCATAATCCATTACTACCCGTCATTTTATTTTTCATGTTTTAATGATGAGATGAGACATATTTAATATGTATGTTTGGGTACTGAGCAGCAAATGCTCATTCATTCTTTTTTTTTAATGATTCATACAGAATTTTTAAGGGCATGGAGAAAAAAAAAGATGAACAGAGACACCGACCGTGTGGTCATTTTTCATGTCAACACGAACATGAATGATTTATTTGTTCCTGCACTGACAGACAGCAGAGGGGGGCAGAGGCTGCTAAAAACACCGCGACCATTGTGCCTACACAGGCAAATATGAACAATGCCATCGTTTAAAATGAGACAATTACAATCAAAATTTGAACAAAACATTTACAAGAACAACTCAATTGATCTGCTGTAGCCTAGCCTGAACGCTGATTTCTGCATCGTCGTGCACCCTCGGACGAATCCGTTACTCATCTTAGCTTTTCTACAGATGTCGCAGAACATTTTGCCATCTTCCCTCCTCAGCCACTTAAACTCTTGCTCCCACTGAACCCGAACGCACTTATTGTAAGTCGCTTTGGATAAAAGCGTCAGCTAAATGCAATGTAATGTAATGTAACCCGGTACTCCCGCTTGAACTCCTTGCCACTTGCTTGCCCCTCTGCTGCTGGCTGAACGTTGTCAGTTTTAGTCTTACTGGCTCGTCCTTCATCCTCCACCGCATCAATCCCTCTTTTTTCACCTCGTTTATCCACACCATCACAATTACTGGGCTTATTAAAAAAGCTTCGGACGATCAGCTGCCGTGACATTTTGTGATTGCTAAAGCCGGTTAAAAAATGAGGTAATCAACGAGGTCAAAAACAAGACTAGACAATAGCTACTTACACACACTACACACACTCGCCACCAACTGGACAGGGGTGTGAATGACTAAATAATAGTTACAGACTACAGTAGAGTACAGTAGATCGCCCTCAGTCGACCTGGCCACTAAGGATGTGGGCCGCTGGTGGACATTTTGGCGCTGTTCCGAGTTGTGTTCTAATCTGTCAAAATGACGGACTGCTTTCAGATTTTTCCGTCATTGTTAGAAAAAATCTGTCATTGACGGAAAATATTCGGTTAACGCGACCTCTGGTCCCAATATATAGGGTGTCTATTTCCGGAGAAACATCATGTACTGTCTTGTGATGTTGGGCTTTAGCTGACCTACACATTTTTGCATAGTGATTCTGTTTTCCACAATTATGGCAGGATACTCCGTATGCTGGACACTGTCTTGGCTGGTGTGATTTACTACATTGTTTGCATGTTTCATGTCTTTGTCCCATGTCTTGTGTACGTTGTATAGGCGGTGTGCGTGTCTTTTGTCCTTGTTGACTATTCTTGTGCACTGCAAGTACAGACATCTCCTGGGCTGCTGCATTCATAGCTAGCATTTCAACTTTGGCCATCTCAGCAGCTCTGCAGGTCTATGGCCCTTTCTAATGTGAGATTAGGTTCTCTTAAAAGTCTCTCTTTCAGTCTCTGGTCATTCATACTAAACACAATCTGTCTCTGATCATTTTCTGTGGTATAAAATTCACAATCCTTGCTCTTTTGCTTGAGCTCCGTCACATATTTCTCAATCGTGGACATAGGACATAGGATGTGCCCAAAACTGATGTCTCTCAAACACTGTGTTCTTCTTAGGCAGACAATAGGCTCTGAATGCTGCTAGAATATCATTAACAGTCTGTTCATCTTATTCTTCACCTTCATCTTCACCGTGTGCGATGTCTAGCGTGTTGTAAACTTCAAGAGCCTCCTCTCCTAGTGCATTTAGCAGTATGGCCACTTTAATCTTCCTGTCCTTAACGTCTGCACCACTCGCGGTCATGTATATTTGGAAGCATTGTTCCCATTGTCGCCAGTTTTCAGAGTACCAGTGGGGATGTTAATTCGAATCGATCCATCTCTCTCTTTTTTCTTTCTTCCAAAAAATTGCACTCCCGCTCTCTGGGGACCGCACCTGTTAGCTAGGCTTTAGGCTAACAAAACTTTCATCTGTTTACCTCCGGCAAAATGACGAACTGGACCGACTTCTGACACCATGTAATAGTCCTTTATGCTATATAGTTCATAGTCATGGAGAGTAATAAGGTATCCGTAGACCTTTGTATGAGGCATCTTTATTTACTTAACAGATCTTCCGCCATGATACATACAGTGGGGCAAAAAAGTATTTAGTCAGCCACCAATTGTGCAAGTTCTCCCACTTAAAAAGATGAGAGAGGCCTGTAATTGTCATCCTAGGTATACCTTAACTATGAGAGACAAAATGAGGAAAAAAAATCCAGAAAATCACATTGTCTGATTTTTAAAGAAATTATTTGCTAATTATGGTGGAAAATAAGTATTTGATCTCAATACTTTGTTATATACCCTTTGTTGGCAATGACAGAGGTCAAACGTTTTCTGTAAGTCTTCACAAGGTTTTCACACACTGTTGCTGGTATTTTGGCCCATTCCTCCATGCAGATCTCCTCTAGACTCGCAGTGCTTCTCAAAGTGTGGTCCGCGGACCACTGGTGGTCCGTGAGCGCCCCCTAGTGGTCCGTGAGTATATTGGTAACATTTCACATTTGAAATAAATAAATACATTTGAGTTTTCCGCACTCTGCCGGGAATATCTCCACAATGGAGCGAGCTTAAGTTTCACTTTTGATTGCATGATATAGCCCCGCGCAACACCTTCATCACACATGTTGCCACTTGTTTGTACCATTTTCAGGAAATTTGTAATCGGTTCTAGAAAAACGATGTGATTTTGGATATTTGTGGAGTTAGGTGGTCCGCGAGTGTTTTTTTATTGGTTAAGTGGTCCTTGGTATGAAAAAGTTTGAGAAACACTGCTCTAGAGCAGTGATGTTTTGGGGCTGTCGCTGGGCAACACGGACTTTCAACTCCCTCCAAAGATTTTCTATGGGGTTGAGATCTGGAGACTGGCTAGGCCACTCCAGGACCTTGAAATTCTTCTTACGAAGCCACTCCTTCGTTGCCCGGACGGTGTGTTTGGGATCATTGTCATGCTGAAAGACCCAGCCACGTTTCATCTTCAATGCCCTTGCTGATGGAAGGAGGTTGTCACTCAAACTCTCACGATACATGGCCCCATTCATTCATTCCTTTACACGGATCAGTCGTCCTGGTCCCTTTGCAGAAAAACAGCCCCAAAGCATGATGTTTCCACCCCCATGTTTCACAGTAGGTATGGTGTTCTTTGGATGCAATTCAGCATTATTTCTCCTCCAAACACGTCTAGTTGAGTTTTTACCAAAAAAGTTCTATTTTGGTTTCATCTGACCATATGACATTCTCCCAATCCTCTTCTGGATCATCTAAATGCTCTCTAGCAAACTTCAGACGGGCCTGGACATGTACTGGCTTAAGCAGGGGGACACGTCTGGCACTGCAGGATTTGAGTCCCTGGCGGCGTAGTGTGTTACTGATGGTAGCCTTTGTTACTTTGGTCCCAGCTCTCTGCAGGTCATTGACTAGGTCCCCCCGTGTGGTTCTGGGATTTTTGCTCTCCGTTCTTGTGATCATTTTGACCCCACGGGGTGAGATCTTGCGTGGAGCCCCAGATCGAGGGAGATTATCAGTGGTCTTGTATGTCTTCCATTTTCTAATAATTGCTCCCACAGTTGATTTTTTCACACCAAGCTGCTTACCTATTGCAGATTCAGTCTTCCCAGCCTGGTGCAGGTCTACAATTTTGTTTCTGGTGTCCTTTGACAGCTCTTTGGTCTTGGCCATAGTGGAGTTTGGAGTGTGACTGTTTGAGGTTGTGGACAGGTGTCTTTTATACTGATAACGAGTTCAAACAGGTGCCATTAATACAGTTAACGAGTGGAAGACAGAGGAGGCTCTTAAAGAAGAAGTTACAGGTCTGTGGGAGCCAGAAATCTTGTTTGTTTGTAGGTGACCAAATACTTATTTTACCGAGGAATTTACCAATTAATTCATTAAAAATCCTACAATGTGATTTCCTGGATTCTTTCCCCCCATTCTGTCTCTCATAGCTGAAGTGTACCTAGGATGAAAATTACAGGCCTCTCATCTTTTTAAGTGGGAGAACTTGCACAATTGGTGGCTGACTAAATACTTTTTTGCCCCACTGTACATGCGTTCAAGATGCGGGCTTGCATACACACCGTATCACTCCGCAGCCTCACCACATCAGTAACGTCCTGATAGTATATGTGCGCGGCACTATATACTACAAGCAGAATATCTCTCTTTCTTCTGTTTCTACAAAAATGAATATTGCTGGTGTTACCTTGCCTGCAAACCTTATTTCCCACAGTGAGACATTAAGGGCTGAAGGGAAGTTACGGCAGAGGATTTTATTTGCATTTATAAAGCCTGTCATGTAATTGTGAAACAATAATGAAACAGTGGTGCAGTGGTTTTTTATTACCTGTCCTTGTGTTTGCACCAGAGGCAGGACGGCCTCATGCAGCGCTCCATCCGAGAGGTGAACACCTCCAGCCGCTGGTGTGTGCTATGGGACCTGGACGAGGACACACACTACAGCGTGCAAGTGAGGGGCACACACACACACACACTCTAATTAAATTCAAAGATGTTATTGTCATATGCACATACTGTAGCTACAGTGTAGAAATGGCAATGAAATTCTTGACCTGAGATGCTCCAACAATGCAACATGTATAATAAAATACAAAAATAAAAAATAGTCCAAAAAGTCTATATACATGTAAATAGAATATGATATGTACAAGAACAGAATATGAAATTAAATAATGTATATTAAGACAAAATTAAATATGGCATCACACACATGCCTGCAGTGCCTGTAGTTGTGATAGATTTGTTATTATTCTTTAAAAAGCAGATATTAGGTCAAATGAGCATAAATACCAGATTTGTTGTTAATAGTTCACCATATAGCAAGTCATAAATGCTAAATTCATGGTCAATAAATCATAAATATTGGCATTAATAAAGAAACATAGGCCTTTTAGTACTTCACTTTTATACTTATTAACTCCCTCTCGCTGTTTAATTAACATAACTCAAATCAAACTCTTTATACAGCTCAGAGATTCCTAAATTAAAGCCAGTGCAAACCGCAGCTCCTTTCTAATTGAGAAGTATCTACTGAGACTCCATTATCATGACTCTATTAAACTTTTTATAATCCATTAGAGCTTAATAGACTTACGCCGATTGTCCTTCAGCTGAAGACTCGGTTAAATGTGCTCGTCAGCATGCAGCCGTCCTGCAGAAGTGTCAATGAACAATCCCTGATGGCTCGCAAGCACCTATGATCTTCCCTCAGAGGACGGTAAAATGTTCCCAATGGAGTTTGGTGGAGCTTCATCATCAGTAGGGAATCAAAAGGACAGTTCAAACTTGCATTTCCTTCATTTTTTTGGATACTTAATCCGTATACAATTACTTATTTTGTGTTTTACTTCTGCTTTGAACCCCCATGTGCCTTGAAATGTTCCTCAAATGTCTTTCAACATAAAACGTGTTGTCTTTAACCTTTGGGTTTATTGTTTGAAAGGCACAGTAACACCCCTTTCTGTGTAAATTCTGTGTATTAATATTTAATACAATCAAACTCCACCGCAGTTGCCAGATACATCTTAATGTTCAAATTTGAATGAGACACACGCCAAAAACCTTGTTTATTCCTTGCTTCATCTTAGGATTCTCATTTAGCCTTATTTGTTGAAAATGAGTCCCCAAATGAGTGATTAGCTAACATCTATATTCACTCTTTTATCTTCTCTATATAGCCTCTACACTCACAGTGCTGCTAGTCCTCCAACAATCACTCAGGATCCCACCCACAAAAAAATCAAAGCACCATTTGCTGCTCGCAAAATATACCCTCACAAGCCAGTTTCTGCTCAGCGTTACTGTTAAGTCCGGGATGAGGAACAGCGACACACACCAGTTGGAATTGGTAATAATTATAAGGAGTTTATTAAAGGTCTCATGTCATGCTTTTCCGGTTATTACCTGTCCCCATGTAAATGTTCTGCAGAGTCACAAACCCTCAAAGTACACCCTGTTGCGAGTAAAACTCTAACACAGAAAATACCTGTCTATGCTGCACCAAAACGCCTCGTTGGACATTTCTCTTTTTCCATAGTTTTCTTCCTGGGTACAGTGACGTGCCAAATGGACCAATCCGTGGAGCCGTTACGTTAAGTAACTTCCTCACACCAGAGATGGAGTACTCGAGTGCCGATTTTCGGGACTCGTGACTCGACTCGCGCACTGATTGACGCGACTCGGACTTGGACTCGTGAATTCTCGCGCACGCTGACTTGGACTCGGACTCGTGAATTTTCCCCCCCACGATGACTCGGACTCGACTCAAGCAAGTTTTCTCTGGAGTCTGATGTCCTCTATCCTGGCGTGTGCACCTGCGAGGCGAGTTCACGTACTGGGACCCGCTATTCCAGTCTAGAGATGTCTAGAGACTGTTAGAAATTAAAATCAATGTTTGATAGCATAAAGTAGCTTAAACATACTGTCAGTTTAAAAGCTATTTTATTCTGGAAAAAAACAGAAGTTCTCAATTCCAAGCTTTTATTCTGAAAATCCTTCATCTCCGGTTAGCATTTAGCATGTGGCTAGTCTAATATATCATTTCCTATAGATGTGAATTTAGCAGCGAAATGACATGGAGTGATGCACACCGAAACCTACTGATTTAACACTACAACTATTGAACCAAGAGATTATTATTGCTGAATATTAAATGAAGGTACAGTTTATTTGAATACGTTATTGTTTGCGTGGGTAGCATGTGACAACATCCGGAACTACCGGAAACCCAAATGCTGTGAAGTATTTCCTGTATTTTTTAGAGTGTTGATTTCAGCGTTTGAAATGTATTTAGATGAAAAGTCATGAAAGAGATTAGGAGGAGAAGAGGCGTGTCTAGTTATACAATGAATGTCAATTGTCGAAATCCTCCGTTTAACGCAATATCGGACACAGAAGAACGAGGGGGAAGTCTCCTATGTCACCACAGCCCCGAGAGAGGAGGAGCAAACAGCCAGCAAGCAGGAAGGACGAATGCTTGTGAGCTCTCTTCTGCACGGCCACGACAGGGAGAGGAAGCTGCAGCCTTTCTCTCCTGACTGAACAATGTTTGTAACATTACCGCGCCATATTTTTTATTAAAGTAACCATTTGAACCTTCTAAGAGACTCCATTTAGTCTCCTTTTAAAGTTTCTCTCCTGGACGCGAGAATAACGAACACAGCATAACAAGACACACCCCGCATCGTGCTGTATGCTTTCACACATTCTGCTTCCACATTGGAAAAGAGCAGCGCAAAATGCTCGTTACGTGGAAAAAAGATTGAAGAGAAGTCTCCGTAACACATTACTCTAAGGATCGAGTTCAGACATATAGGCTGTCTTGAACACTATCATCAGAGTCGATCAATAAATAAAGAATGATGGTCAGACTCTCTAACTGATGGTATCTGTTTATTGCACACCCTTGCTTGTATACAATCATTACCAACATAAGAGCTTGTGCCGTTATCAGCCAGGTGCTAAAAACCGAATGCAACTATTTAGTATATGTTCATTTATTCGTCATCTATCCATCAGTATACATGTGTGTTTACACTGCTACGTTGTCCATTGACTTCCGGTAAAAGTTCCTTCAAAATAAGAGTCCCGATCTTATTACTATCAACACTAGGACACTCCTTGGGTGACTTGGACTCGACTACGACTCTCCCTAGGTGACTCGGACTTGGACTCGAATAGTGGTGACTCGAGAGTGACTTGAACTCGTGAATTGGTGACTTGACTACAACACTGCCTCACACACACTCAATCTTTCTCAGCTGCAGCTCCGCCGATTTCTCCTCCCTTAGACGGCAGGACGCGGCGAGGCTGTGAGTCGGTGTGTGAGCACACACACAAACTCCCAGCCAGGCTGCGGGTATGTGTGTGTTTGGGCTGGTTTTGCTGTGTCTCGCTGTCTCGCAGACGGCCACTGGGCTCATAGGGAGGGGGGGCAGGAGCTCCAACGAGCCGTTTAGGTCAGAGAGTGAATACACATACTATACAGAGATGCTGTATGAGAAACCAATGAGATTTTGGAAAATTGCACAATATAAATCTGTTTTAGTATACCTCAACAATGGAATTATGATCAGTAGAAATGGGACCTTTAAATAATGATGTAACAAAATGGAAGGCAAGCAGCCTGGAGCAAACAAAAAGGCCAAAAGGCGCAGGTTTAAATGAGCAACCAACAAAAGGAGGACTCTAATAAGGGAGCCTAATTAAATACAAAGAAATAGACACTAACAAACATAGCAACCCTCACTATCAAAGTGGTACAAACTAACAAAAGGAGGCTGTAAGAAAAACACAGCTATACTAAAAGGACAACAGTCAACTTAAAGGGGACCTATCATGCAAAATGCAATTTTGTACATCTTTTACATGAATATGTGTCCCCGGTGTGTCAGGGAACTCACCAAGTGTCAGAAAACACAACCCTCTCTCTTTTCCCTCATACCCAAATCTCTAAAAACGGGTCTGCAACGGATCTGATTATTATTTGAATTGTTATGACGTCAGAAAAGGGGTGCTCCGCCTATATGGGCAACTCTCCACCTATCAGGGGAATGAGAGACCGCTCGAAAGCGCTGGAGACGCTGTAGTACATATGCCAGGCCTGTAAGTGGCTCTGTAGTCTGCCACAAAAGCAGAATCAGCCCTTGCAAAAACAGGGCTGGAAAAGAGCAAATAGAGCGAAATGAGGCATGGCTAAAATGCATGATCTGTTAGGTATTTTGAAAAAAAAACTTCACAGACATGTTTTATATACACTGAACAAAAATATAAATGCAACACTTTTGTTTTTGCTCCCATTTTTCATGAGATGAACTCAAAGATTTGGCTCGACCAAAAATCGTTTATAAATGTGCTATATAAATAAAACTTGATTTGAAAGATCTAAAACATTTTCTATATACACAAAATAACCATTTCTCTCAAATATTGTTCACAAATCTGAAAAAATCTGTGATAGTGAGCACTTCTCCTTTGCCGAGATAATCCATCCCACCTCACAGGTGTGGCATATCAAGATGCTGATTAGACAGCATGATTATTGCACAGGTGTGCCTTAGGCTGCCCACAATAAAAGGCCACTCTGAAACGTGCAGTTTTGCTTTATTGGGGGGGGTCTGGGGGGGTCCGAAAACCAGTCAGTATCTGGTGTGACCACCATTTGCCTCACGCAGTGCAACACATCTCCTTTGGATAGAGTTGATCAGGTTGTTGATTGTGGCCTGTGGAATGTTGGTCCACTCCTCTTCAATGGCTGTGCGAAGTTGTTGGATATTGGCAGGAACTGGAACACGCTGTCGTATACGCCGATCCAGAGCATCCCAAACATGCTCAATGGGTGACATGTCCGGTGAGTATGCTGGCCATGCAAGAACTGGGATGTTTTCAGCCTCCAGGAATTGTGTACAGATCCTTGCAACATGGGGAAGTGCATTATCATGCTGCAACATGAGGTGATGGTCGTGGATGAATGGCACAACAATGGGCCTCAGGATCTCGTCACGGTATCTCTGTGCATTCACAATGGGGGGCGGTGGTGGCGAAGTCGATAGGGGCTTGGCTTGGCAACTGGAAGGTCACCAGTACAAGTCCCGGCAAGACCAAGTGCTACCGAGGTGTCCCTGAGCAAGGCACCGTTCCCCACACTGCTCCCCGGGCGCCGTTCAAAATGGCAGCACACTGCTCCTAACACAGGATGGGTCAAATGCAGAGAAACAATTTCCCCACGGGGGATTAATAAAAGTCCATCTCCATGCCATCAATAAAATGCACCTGTGTTCGTCGTCCATAACATACGCCTGCCCATAACCCCACCACCACCATGGGCCACTCGATTCACAACATTGACATCAGAAAACCGCTCACCCACACGACGCCATCTGCCCTGAACAGTGAAAACCGGGATTCATCCGTGAAGAGAAGACCTCTCCAACGTGCCAGACGCCATCGAATGTGAGCATTTGCCCACTCAAGTCGGTTACGACGACGAACCGGAGTCAGGTCGAGACCCCGATGAGGACGACGAGCATGCAGATGAGCTTCCCTGAGACGGTTTCTGACAGTTTGTGCAGAAATTCTTTGGTTATGCAAACCGATTGTTGCAGCAGCTGTCCGAGTGGCTGGTCTCAGACGATCTTGGAGGTGAACATGCTGGATGTGGAGGTCCTGGGCTGGTGTGGTTACATGTGGCCTTGTGAGGCCGGTTGGATGTACTGCCAAATTCTGTGAAACGCCTTTGGAGCCTTTTGAATTGAATTGAATGCGAATTGAATTGGAGACGGCTTATGGTAGAGAAATTAACATTCAATTCACGGGCAACAGCTCTGGTGGACATTCCTGCTGTCAGCATGCCAATTTCACGCTGCCTCAAAACTTGCGACATCTGTGGCATTGTGCTGTGTGATAAAACTGAACATTTTAGAGTGGCCTTTTATTGTGGCCAGCCTAAGGCACACCTGTGCAATAATCATGATGTCTAATCAGCATCTTGATATGCCACACCTGTGAGGTGGGATGGATTATCTCGGCAAAGGAGAAATGCTCACTATCACAGATTTTTGCAGATTTGTGAACAATATTTGAGAGAAATGGTTATTTTGTGTAGAAAGAAAATGTTTTAGATCTTTGAGTTCATCTCATGAAAAATGGGAGCAAAAACAAAAGTGTTGCATTTATATTTTTGTTCAGTGTAGGTATGGCCCTACAATATATGTTTCAACTATAGCATGATAGATCCACTTTAAATCTAAACTAATCTTGAAATATTGAAAATTATTGGAAATAACTGCACTTCTGTGAACAAATGAGGAGTACTGTAAAGATGCTTAAAAGAAACTCTATATTTTTTGGGGGTCTCTAGGTGCAGTCTGTTGGGCCGCATGCTGACAGCCAGCCCAGCCGAGCCGTCCACTTCAGGACTCTGGAGAGGAGCGACCACTATCCAGCCGGAGTCCTCGACCAGCGTAAATAAATAAACACACACACATATTGTTACAACCCGGCTCTTGGGCTGTAACAAAAAGTTGGGAGTCGAGACGAGAGGCATGGAAATATAACAGCTTTTATCCAAAGCGACTTACATACATTCGTACTGTGGACAACAGGAGCAATTTGAGGTGAAGTGTCTTGCCAAGGAACACAACGACATGCTGACTGCAGTGGGACGCGAACTTGCTATCCCCTGATTCAAAGTCCAGCACACTACCCATAGCACTGGAACCTGCAATCACAAGTAGAGCGAGCGCCAACGGAACGCCTAGTGGTGTGGAGGGGTCGTCACAATATGTAAATATGTAGAGAAACAAAAGCAAGCCGGTTTTGTCTTAGAAAAATAAAACCACCCAATTGTTCACTTTATATGTGTATTTATATGAAGAAATAGTGGCAAAAATAGATATAAAATAATCAACGGTTAAAGTTAAACATCCAAAAACAACACCTTCATCAATCAAATACTTCCCCTCTCTTAATTACACAAAAAATAATAATATGACAACAATCCCCTTGACCTGGACAAGAAATAACAAATTTTCACAGCAAAAGTTTGATGCTTTTTGAGGATCTTGCTGAGAATTGAATGAGAAGATTGATACCAGTAAATGCTTTACATTTAAAGATACCGTCAGTTGGCTTAGCTAAGATAAATATACAGACTGAAAACGGTTTTGTCTTGTAACTCTCACTTTTTAATTTTCCTTGTTTTATTTACATCAGCATAATTTCCTTCATATTAACTGCCATTTGTATTTATATTGTTTGTTTTTTAGCTGTTATAGTCCATCTCTGAAGCTCCCCTCCTCTTTTTGTCCTTGTTGATAAAGCATGTGAATGTGAACCTGTGTGTGTCCTCAGATGAACCTGCGATGGAGGGGCTGGGTATGACAACTCACCTTCAGACCGGAGAGCTGCTCATCGTCACCACTGTGCTGCTGCTGTGGGCAGGTCAGCTTTATCTCACTGTTTACCAGTGCTGGAGGAAGTACACATATCCTCTACTGCAGTAAAAGTATTTTCAACCTGTGAAAATACTCGTTGACAATTGAAACCTTGTAAGAATAATCAAGAACATTTTCTTACAGAATGGCCCCAAGGACTATTATATAATTTAAGGTAAGTATAATGAAGATACTTATTGCGCCCGGGTGAATATAGTAAAAAAAGAAGCTATATAAATCCAGGTGCCTATAGTGAACAATGCTATTTGTAACCAGGTAACTATAGAGTGGTGCAGGGATGACGTATTTACCTGGAAGTAAGCGGCGCATGGGTTCCTTAGACAAAAAAGCAATGGGATTTCTCCATAGGATTTTGGAAAATAGCTCGAAATAAGGTCCTTGGAAAACTAACCTGTTTGATAAATACAAGTTTTGTTCAGCCGGATAATATCTACATGTCTACCCTACTTTTATAATTTTCTAATCATAAAACTAATCGCCAACTTAAGATCGATATTCAAAAATACAGATTCAAAATGGTACAAGTTGAAGCGTTTGTTTGAACAGTTTGCAGGAGGCAGGTACTTGCTTTCAAGTAGAACAGGGCAAACAAGTGTGTATGTGTTCGGCATCACTGCTGATGTATTTAATGTCGTAGAACAAAACGTGATCCGTCTCTTAAATTTGTGTCAACCACAGACCTTATTTTGAGCTATTTTCCAAAATCCTATGGAGAAATCCCATTGACTCTGAGACGAGGGAACCAGTAGTGGTAAAATGCTAACTCACTTCCGGGTTTTAGGACTCGTCACTGCACCACTCTGGTGAACAATGCTATTTGTAACTGGGCAACTATAGTGAACAATGCTATTTGTAACCGGGTAACTATAGTGAACAATGCTATTTGTAACCGGGTAACTATAGTGAACAATGCTATTTGTAACCGGGTAACTATAGTGAACAATGCTATTTGTAACCGGGTAACTATAGTGAACAATGCTATTTGTAACCGGGTAACTATAGTGAACAATGCTATTTGTTTGTAACCAGGTAACTATAGTGAACAATGCTATTTGTAACCAGGTAACTATAGAGTGGTGCAGGGATGACGTATTTACCTGGAAGTAAGCTGCGCATGGGTTCCTTAGACAAAAAAGCAATGAGATTTCTCCATAGGATTTTGGAAAATAGCTCGAAATAAGGTCCTTGGAAAACTAACCTGTTTGATAAATACAAGTTTTGTTCAGCCGGATAATATCCACATGTCTACCCTACTTTTATAATTTTCTAATCATAAAACTAATCGCCAGCAGCTAAATGCTAACGTTATGCTATAAACGAACTACAGCAGGGTCGCACGACTTCAACGTAACGCCAAGTTAAGATCGATATTCAAAAATACAGATTCAAAATGGTACAAGTTGAAGCGTTTGTTTGAACAGTTTGCAGGAGGCAGGTACTTGCTTTCAAGTAGAACAGGGCAAACAAATTTAGCAGGAGTGTGTATGTGTTCGGCATCACTGCTGATGTATTTAATGTCGTAGAACAAAACGTGATCCGTCTCTTAAATTTGTGTCAACCACAGACCCTATTTTGAGCTATTTTCCAAAATCCTATGGAGAAATCCCATTGACTCTGAGACGAGGGAACCAGTAGTGGTAAAATGCTAACTCACTTCTGGGTTTTAGGACTCGTCACTGCACCACTCTGGTGAACAATGCTATTTGTAACTGGGCAACTATAGTGAACAATGCTATTTGTAACTGCACCACTCTGGTGAACAATGCTATTTGTAACTGGGCAACTATAGTGAACAATGCTATTTGTAACTGGATAACTATAGTGAACAATGCTATTTGTAACCGGGTAACTATAGTGAACAATGCTATTTGTAACCGGGTAACTATAGTGAACAATGCTATTTGTAACCAGGTAACTATAGTGAACAATGCTATTTGTAACCGCTGTGGAGCACCAAATTCCTGGGTGTGACCATCACAGATGACCTCACCTGACAACACCACCGCACTAGCAAAGAAGGCCCAGCAGCGCCTGTACTTCATCCGGAAGCTCAAGCGAGCCGGAGCACCACCCTCCATCATGCTGTCTTTCTACCGAGGCGCCGCTGAGAGCACCCTCAGCAGCTGCATCACGCTGTGGTTTGGAAGCTGCTCCCTCTCAAACCGCAAGAGCCTGCAGCGGATTGTGAACTCTGCCCAGAGGATCATCGATGCCTCACGATCACTACAGGACATTTATAACAACCGCCTCACCCGCAAAGCACTCAGCATTGTGGGCAGTGTTGGGCAAGTTACTTCCAAAATGTAATACATTACATATGACATATTTTTTAAGTAATAAGTTACATTACAATATTACTGTCTCTGAAATGTAATGAGTTACACTACTTTTATATTAATTTTGAGTTACTTTCACCAAAATAACCGCAAAATAATGACGAGGTATTTTAAATGCAAAAGTGTAGTTTAGGCCCTTAAGGCTACTAACGTTTATTACAAGGCTTAGTTGAATACTCGATTCTGATTGGTCAATTCCAGGATCAAGAAAAGAGAAAGTAAAAGAGGGTAAAAGACGGAGAGCTGGACGTCAGATAAATGAACAGAAGAAGACAGACAAGAAGTAAACACTAACAGGAACACAGTATGGGCTCTGCAGTGTTTAAGGACTTGTTAGTGGATCAGAAACTGTGAACAAAGTTGGACAGTGCTGCCGTAAAGTTGTTGTTGTCGCAGTTCCAGCCGTTGGTGCGCCGTGGAACGGAGTCGATTCCTTAGTTTGTTTAGTATCTGGCCATGTAATAAGCGGGATAATGTGCAGCGACTGATTACGTAAACACCAGGCTTACTAATCTACCGGCACAATTTTTCTCTGGTGTCGGAATGTCACGTGATGTTAGTGAATTCTTAAAAAACAAAACACCATTTCATTTCAAGTTAAAATTAGTTGTAACGGGTAGTATATTACCAAAATGTCATTAGTAATACGTTACATTACTTCGTTACAGCAAAAAGTAATACATTACTGTAACTACGTTACAACTACTTGCCATGAGGGCAAGATATGGATCACTGTGCAAGATATCCTCACTGCCCACTCCGCTTCTCCATTGCTCTGAGGGAAGTCGGGACTGGATGTCACATGACTGAAGTTCTAGTCCTGGGCAAACTTCCTGAACGGCTCGGATGCAAACTGTGGTCCATTGTCTGAGCGCACTATCTCTGGCACCCCATGTCGTGCAAAGTTAGACTTGAAGTGTGTGATAACTGCCTCTGATGTTGTGGAAGTTAATTTTGCCACTTCAAAAAATCTTGAAAAATAGTCAACAATGACCAAATAATGTTTGTTGTCTAATTGAAACAGATCTGCTCCCACTGTAGACCGGTGGGAACTCTGTAGGCAACAATGTCTCTCTGAGGTTTGTTCTCTCCCGGCTACATGTGTCACAGTTCTCTATCACTTTTGTTAACTCCTTGCTGAGTCCTGGCCACCACACAGACTGTTTGGCTCTTTCTCTGCATTTGGTTATGCCCATGTGACCTTCATGCAGCTTGGTGAGCATGTCAGCTCTGAGCGAGGGATCACTATCCTGCTACCATAAAGTAGGAGACCATTTTGAACTGTGAGCTCACCTGAGAGTGGCAGATAGGGTTGAAACACTCTCTCAATAGAAAACGTGTCATCCCTCTACACAGTACCTTTTTAACTGTTGGAGTATGGTGTCGTTGTCTTGGTGTGTCTGTATTTCCCTGAGTCTCTTTTCTGTAGCTGGCAGGCTTGATATGACTGAGTCCACGTACAGATTGATTTCATTTTCATGTAGCCCCTCATTGATGTTGCTGACAGGAGCCCTGGATAGTACATCTGCAGTTGCGATGTCTTTGCCTGCCACATGTGATATGGTGTAGGAGAATCACATCAGTCGCATGGGAGTTCATCCAAGCTCTTTGAGCCTAGCAGAGGAACCAAAGGCTTGTGATCAGTCTCAATGTGGAAACCTTTCCCGATGAGGAACTCTGCAAACCTCTCGCAGGCCCAAGTTGATGCCAGAGCCTCCTTTTCAATCTGGGCATATCTCTGTTCAGTGCTGCTGAGAGATCTTGAAGCATATGCTACAGGTCGCCATTCGATGCCTGTTTGTCGCTGCAGAAGCACGGCACCCATCCCCGTATGAAGATGAATCCGCAGAGACAAGAGTTTCAGCATTTGGGTCATACAGTGCTAGTCCCGGGGGTGTCGTCAGATCCTTTTGATGCTGTCAAAGGCCTGTTGCTGTTGTAGCCCCCAAGCCCACATGTTTGTTTTCTTTAACAAGTCTCTGAGAGGATGAGGTTTTTCAGCCAGGTGAGGTAGGAATTTCCCAATGTGATTTGTCATCCCCAGAAAGCATCTCACCTCACTGACATTACTGGGCTCTGTCATGGCTTTCACAGCGTTAATCTTGTCTGGGTCTGCGCTGACTCCAGATGCCTCTATAACTTGCCCCAGAAACTTTATTCTGCTTTTTGAGAACTCACACTTGTCGTTAAGTGTCACTCCTGCTTCCTGCCGTCGTGATAGCGTCCTCTTCAGCCTCTCATCGTGCTCTTTTTGTGTGGCTGAGATGAGCATGTCGTCCATCTGACACACAACACCTTCCAGGCCCTCCAGGATACGTGACATTCGTTTTTGGAAGTTATAAAAGTTGTTAGCAGAGATGATTCCTTGGACAGTGGAATCTGCCAAAATCCTGCATTTGCATCAAGCTTTGAAAACACTTCTGTCCTGTGCTCAACTGAGGGGAGGGGATGTTTCTCTCTCAACACTGATTTGTTCAGCTCAGTGAGGTCAGTGCATATTCTCACTCTGCCCGTGCACTTGGGCACCACGACCTGGTGGTACCCAAAGGTGGAGAAGCCCACAGAATGGTGTGCACCCATGTGCACACCATTCTGTGGGCTTCTCCACCTTTGAGACAACACCCTGCTGCTCCATGCAGTCTAACTCCTCTTTAACCTTAGGAAAGAGTGGGAGAGAAATGCGCCTAGGGGTTGCAAGGGAAAACGGCTGTG